TTATTAAGATAGAATGCAGGCGTTATCACAATAAAATAAATACAGGCCCCCTCCAATTAAAGACCATCTCCAATGGTCAAATTGGAGGATCAAATTCACAAATGTCTTTTATATCTTTTTATTATTTTAAGTAGAGATCAAAGCTGCTAAAGACTATGGAAACCCCGGTCCCAAAAGAGGCCTTTAATTGGAGGGAGACCTTATAATCATTCGAACATGCTATATAATCTTATTATAATAATACATTTTAAAAAGTAAACTTTCAAACAGAACATTTTCCTCACCGAATAACATAAGTATGCACACACGTTTCTAATTGTATGTGTACACTTTTAAATTGGCTGGCAGATATAATATTTGTTATGTACATAAGTATGAAAACTGATTTCTTGTCGAAAGAGGCCTTTGGAAAGACGATTTCGTTGCCGAACAAATAAAATACATCTATTTTTCGATCACAAATTTGCTAAAATTATAAAGAAAACATAAGGATAAGTTACAGAAATCCACAGGCCTATTACACTGAACATGTTTGTACTTCTTTTTTTTTTTTTTTTATAGATCAGAGAGGTGGGACCTCAAAACCCAACCACATAATTCGTCAAAACAAGAGTCCTCAAAATTTAGCACGGAATATATCGAAAACGCTCAGCTTTATTATCTACCCTGATGACACTGTTGCAGCACTGAAATCAATGATAGTGGCTCAGGCCCATTGTAGTTCATGGCCCGAGCAGTGTGTTCTCTACTTCCAAGGGAGAAATCTCTGCGATGACCATCGACTAAAAGATTACGGAATTTCTAACGGAGAGGCGACACTGCTTATGGTGGAATCAAGCAATGAAAACATGGTTAGAAAAAGTGCTTCTAGCGAAAATCAAATAACGGTTGAGTTGAGAAATAAAACCACTTTCAAAATAAATGTAAATTGGCGTTCAGACATTGTAGAAGATGCAAAAAATGAGATAGCCACGGTGCTTCGAATCCCAGTACACGGCTTCCATTTGAAGTATCAGGACGTTTTTTTGAAAAATGGAGAGTTGATGTCGCGATATATGTCACCGGGATCGTTGCCAGTTGTTCAGATGATTACGGATGACGACATACGAGAAACCGAGACAGGAAATGTAAAGATTTTGTTAGAACTCGAGTCTGGAGAGATGATTCCGATTGAAAGCATTCACGACACCATAGCAGGATTGAAGCACCAGATCGCAATTATGACAAAAATACCAACGCATTGTCAAAGTTTAGTATTCAATGGTGATGAACTACAAGACGATAGAAAACTTAGCAGTTGCAATTTACAACGAGGAAATGTCGTAGCAGTAAAAAGAATCAACAAATTGCAGTAGAAATGAAAACTGAATGGGACGATAATTTATTTAAACCTTACATATTTAAAAATATTGAAACCATTTCATGATAATGCAGAACATTTTTATTGAAAACGGAATAATCTGTCATGCCTAAATTTCATGAATGTATATGTTTATATTAATACAGATGCCTATTATCATATCATATTATATATATTTCATATGTTGCCTTATATTGTATATATATATGTATATTATATATATATGTACATTATGTATATATATGTATATATG